ATAAAAGAGTAGATTGAGCGATGAAGAAGATAAGCATCATATGCCACTAGCTAGCAAACAAAAATTAATGATATGAATTGGATGACAGCTAAGAAATACAGTCAATAATTGGGTGATGGTGATAGTTGACAATCAATTCGCTAGCATCTTGATAGGAGAAGAGAATATATGTCGACTAACAAACTTCGAATGGTGGTGATCACATACATCTATGTTGGTCCTAATGACTAATATTAGGAAATTTAGATGATGGGTGCCAATGTTGGTTAATAACCGACTTTGGGTGGGTATCAATGTTGTTCAATAGTCAATATTAGGCGGTGGCAAAGGAGGATTTAGCAATAGTCTATAGCTAGCATCGAATATAGCTATATAATTCTCTAAATCTAAAAAATTCTCTTCACCAAAAGTTCTCCTTTTCAAATAGGGACAATTTAATCATTTTTGTAAAAACAATTAGACACTATTGGATGGTGATATTTTTTTGAAAATCTCAACAATTTAATAAACTTAAAATATTGGCTCATTAGAGCCTTCTAATCGATACATTAAATTCAATTATAATTACACAAAATTGTAGGACCTTCAACTCTATATATGAGATCAAGAAGTTTCCAATTACGCTTATGAATATCTAATTAAGGTCTATTTGACTAATATCCATTCATTATTAGTACCACAAGTTTCATCTAGTTGTACTGTGTTGTGGATACAATAGAAAATAGACTTAGGATGATATCATAATAAATTCATGAAATTTTTGTCTCAATATTTGAATGCTTTAAGATCTGAAAATTATATTGAAATTAACCTCTGATGATGATATATCAATAATAAAAAAGAGTGAAAAATGAAATCATCATTCTAAAAAATATATATTTTTTTTTTAATTTAAAAGCTATTAAATTTATCTTTATTGAAAACATACTTAGAGATTGGTTTCGAATTTTATTTTATTTGCTTCATTCTTTTTCAACATTCCCATCACAAATAAAACAAGCATCAAGTGACATATTAGAGTATAACATGTCATGTGGTGCATTGCAGAAGCACATGACTTTGATTAGATGTTTTGGGAGCAAATAATTGGCAGATGAAATATTATATTATATGATCTTATTTTCTTATTTAAATTTGTAGAATTTCTAAGGTAGTGAAATCAAACAAATATCTTTAAAAAAATTAAATTGAATTAAATTCTTCTAAAAATAAATATTAAATATAGTCGATCCCACGTAATTAGACAAATGCTTGATGTTTTTGTTTTTAGTTGTTGTAAAAATAAATCTTAAATTTAGCGTAATTTGATAATTTTTTGTTCAAATTTATGATTTATCTGTATTTAGCAAGATTAAATTTAAAAAGTTTATTTCAAAGAAAGTTGCCATGTTTTTAATATCCATCAAAATCTTTTAATATGCAATAAGAAACTCCATAGATTATTTAATTTAAAACTAGAAATTAAATAATAAATAATTGAACCATCAATATTTCATAGATCCTATTAAACCACAAATAACATTTAAATGATAATTTATTTATACATAACAAAGATTTTTAAATATTTATACATTCAACATCTAAATTATTATATTTACTTATATAACATTCCAATCTTTAAAACACATAAACAATTTTATTAATACTGTAATCGGTGGGTGACGTAAGTCAGGAGGATCGTAGTCGGCGGGCGACAGAGGTCGGAAGGACTGTAGTCGGTGGGCAACATAAGTCAGAAGGACCGTTGTCTGGCGACGGAGGCCGGAATGACGATGTGAATTGGCGGTCTTTGGAGAACTCCAGCATCACTTAAGAAGAATTCCAGCATCGATTGGGCAGAATTTTGGCATCAAATAGATGTCCGGCAAAAGTTCGACAACCGATAGAAGTCCGGCGTCGGGTAGAAACTTGACGATGAGCGGAGGTCCGACGTTGGGTATAAATCCGACGTCAGTTGGGTTTCAGGCAAAATTCTGACGTCACTTGAGGATCTGTCAGAATTTCGGTGTCACTTCGAAGTCGGGCGGAATTCCGACGTCCTATGGAAGTCGGGTAGAATTCTGGCGGTGGTCTCGGAAGAGTTTCTTCCATCCTAATCTTCTGTTCTTCCTTCTCTTCTTCTCTTCTTGCTTCAGCCCCCATTCTCATGAGAAATGAGTGGTCTATTTATTGATATTCTGGAGTGGCATAGCTTGTAAATAGGTGAGAGATCATGGGTAACCCACTAGCAACCCAAATGACCCGAATCTGACTCGTTAACTTATAACTATTAATTTTAAGTATTTGATTAAAAATAAAGAGATTATAAACACATGAACAAAAAAAAATTAAGGAAAACAAATACTAAATGAATCATTTTGGATAAAAAATGAGTTCACAGGTCAACCCAAATCAAACCTGTTTAATAAATGGGACGGAAAATCAAACCCGATTTAGACACACTAATTAAATAGTTCGACCCGAACCTAAATTTTTTAGATGGGATTCAAATTAAATTAACAGATTGAATTATTTATCGACACTCCTACTTTTTCCGTTAAATTTTCTTACATTTATAACAAGTCTCATAAACTTGTTATTTTATGCCTTTATAATAGGGAAAAAAAAATACAATACCGCCGTTTAAAGGAAATTAAAAAAAAAAAAAAAAAGAACTTAGCATCAGTCTGCAAGCTTCCCTGCCGAGCCCACGTCGTGAAAAAGTCAAAAACAAAACTTAAGCACCATATCTTAAAGTCAGAGAAACTTCAAATTTAATACACTGCCGTCAACAATGACTTGTCCAGAACCAAAAAAAAAAAAAAAAAAAAAAAAAAAAAAAAAGGAAAGAAGACTGAAGAATGCAGAGATTCATTCTACTCTCCACAGTTTTCAGACTGAAGCTTCCACGGCCATAAGCTCTCAGATCCAAACTTTCAGCATCAGAAAGCCCCCCTCTTTCTTCTTTGCACCTTCAGCAGTCAGAAACCCCCCTCTTTCCTCATCGTTAAGTTCATAAACCATTCAATACAACATTTAAGAAGAATGGAGAATTTATTTCAGAGAAAAAAATATTGAAAACTTGGAATTGATTTATGGGATGTAACTAAGGTGTTCAGCATCCTCCAACTTTTGATACAATATTTGATCTGAAATCTCAACTTGTTCATCATAGATTCATAATAGCTTTTTTAATGGATTCAAAGATTTTTGTCTTTCTAAATATTATGAACCATATTGTTAGTAATGAGGAGGTAGTGCATTATGAATAAAATGGGATTCAAAGAATTATTGAATGCCAACATCTCAAAGAGACAGATTAAGAGTTTATTTGGGATGACTGTTATTTTTTATAAAGCTGGTTGTGAAGTTGATGCGAAGAAAACAACTTTGTATTATGATTTTATAATTTTATTGTTGCTTTCTGAAAAACAAACAGTTAGAAAGCCATCCCAAACGGTTTGGGACAGCCAAATTATTTTCTTCATAACAATTTCGCAATCAACTTTATAAAAAATTATAGTAACCCTAAATATATCCTAAAAAGATGTTCCTCTCTATGTAAAATAACATTAAAAATATACATAAAGATGATCAAATAAGCTTGTAATCCAAGGTCATTCATTAAAATCATCTATAACATATGGTTAAGGGATAAATGAGACCCTTGCCTTCTTCCATTAGAGAACTTAAGATATTCATATAATTTGTCATTAAAATTTGTAGAGAAATGCATCAACCATTAATTCAATTAACAAATTTGGAAGGGACGCCCTTATCAAGAAGGCGTTTAGTTAAAATAAAATAAATATTAACACTATTAAAGGCTTTGAGAATATCAAATCTAGCACATAAGAGTTTGAGATATTTGCTTGAAGAAAATCCATTAGTAAGCTCATTACTAAAATGTTATTATTCAAAATGATTCTCTCATTGATGAAAGCAACTTGAGTAGAAAGGATGAGAAGAGAAGACCAAGGTTTCGTTTGAGATGACTTTCGTACTGTTTTCTAAAATAGCTTTTTAGTATAAAAATTTCTTAAACTAGAAATTTTTGTTCTAAAAAATTGCTTTGAAAAGCATTAAAGAAACCGCCGCAAACCAAGCCTAAGGCTTGATTTGTGACAACTTACATTAGACAGATTAACATGCTCTTGGAGCCTCCAACAACAAAGCAAAGTTCATAGGATGATGCTCAAGAGGAGAGTTAGGCTTCATTTGGGACAGCTTTTGATCACTATTTTTTTACTACTTTGAATAAATTTTTATATAAAAAACTGTAAGTTGTAGAAAGCAATAAGAAAATTGTCCCAAACAAAATTTTAATTTGAGCTTGTGTTTAAATTAAAACAATAAGAGGGCTTTGATAGCTGGTTTCCACTATGTTAGGGGCTGCTTTCAGAGCATTTTTTATAGCTCTAAGCTTTTTAAAAAATAGGAGTCACATGAACATAATGTTTTCATCTAAAAAATAGCCTCAGCATGTGATTCCGGGCCAAAAAAATTTTAAAGAACAATCAATGTTACTAGCTTTCATAGCATAGATCTTACTTAAATTTGGGGAGGGATCAAGGGAAGGAGAAATTATTCTGTGCGGAGGCCGGATGCAGCTCAATGTTGGAAGGCCAATCAAGTGCAGCAACGTCGGCAGTATCGAGCCCCGGTACGGAGCATTATCGAGCTGCAGTACACTTGAAGGTGTGATGTGGCGCATTCTGATTGGTCTCCGGATGGCATTCAACGTCCGCACAGAATAATTTTTCCAAACGGAAAGGGCTTGAACCAAACTGGAGGGAAAGGAAAATTGATCAAGCTCTAATGCAATAATCAACCTGTTGGCTGAAACAAAAGTAACAGACAATGATAAATACAATTATTGAAGCCTGCCAGTTTCTGGAGAGGAATGCTATACCCTTCAGTTTATCACTGTGAGTTCTAATATGACTGAAACCCCCCAAAAATCAACTAAAAAGATATTTCCCTAAGGTTTTCCCAGCAGAACTCCATTGAAACCAAATGAAAAAAGAGTAAAAATGAATAAAACGACAGTGCTCCAAATTATAATAAGAGTAAATAACCAATCTGCAGTTCAATGATGTCTTCTTTTTAAAAGAGAAGAGTACCATGATCTTTAAGACAGAGAGAGCCCAGTTAGGGTCAGAAAGCTGAGGAAGCGAAAAAAGCTCCTTGATAAATATACATTTACATAAGAATACATACAGGAATAAGAAGAAGAACACATCTAAGAGGGTTAGATTAAGAGCTTCTGCTTCGCTTTCCTCGCTCAATCTCTCACTTTCAACAAGAATAACTAAAGCTAGCGAAAAATTACTTAAAGCGATCCTCCCCTGTTTTTTGCTTAGGTCAGGGCATGAAGAGCTTGTTTCCGCACTTGCAGCGCCAGGCTTCGGGGTAGTACTCGAGCGGAAAGCTTCGGCCCGGCTGAATCGCCACGTGAACCGGCCAACAAGGGAAACAGCGACCGCACCTAGAACGGCACGTCGGCGGCGATGAGCCCGGGCCGGTCAGTCTCCGGCGGCTGGCCACCGATTGCTCCCATTTCTTGTCCTCCAACCGCTTCTGGCTTATGAAGTCAGACTCTTCCTTCTCCTGAGTGATGCCTACCAATGCGCTACCTGATTGTTTTCCGCAAGAAGAAAGAAAAAAGAGACCGAGTGTGTAAGCTTGCGAGCAGGTACCATTTGAATACCAGAAAAGACGCTATTTTTGGACTCATAGTTGATGAAAACTGCATTTTTTTACGAGAGATGAGCGTGAATGGATCGGGCATTATACAAAGAAACCGGAAATAAAATTTGAGAGCTCTGGATATGCACTTTTGGTGGATTGGTTGCCGTTTTGGTCAGGAGTAGAAGGAAAAGGTGAGGCTTTTCTTGCTTCACGTTGAAGGGGTTTTCTAAAACAAGGAAAGTAACTGCATCGCAGAAAAAAGCAGGAAAGAAACAACCTCGCAGTTCAGCAAGAACAAGGTAATGCCCATCCACGCGAGTTCAAAAAAAAAAAAAAAGAAACATAAATAAATAAAAATATAACATTTTTTCTCAATGAGGAGAAGTTTACCCATAGCCGTGGCGAAGAAGAAGATCAGAGCTAAGGCGGCAGAGATGTTACGACCATGGTGGCGCCGGACTCCCATGGCCAAGCTCAGCGGCAACAGAGTTTGTTAAGATGAAGAGAAAGAGACAGAGAGAAGCAGTTTCTCTCCTTGGAGAGAGGGAGGAGAAGAAGGGGAGGCCGAAGAGGGAGCAAGAATGAGCTGAGGAGATGGGAGAAAAGCCAATGGGCCATTTCCATTTGGGTATAAAACTGGAGCAGAGCTCTCGCTGCTGACTCACTACACTTGCCAGCCTCAATTTTGGGCTACCTTATTTTCACATATTTTCCCAACACCTCAATATTTGCTCATTTCTCCAAATGGCTCAGCTCCAAATTTAGAACAGTAGAGAAGCAAAATTCACATGGCACAGGTTGCACTAAAGTTGGGTCTATTTATTCCATTTATATTTATATATTTTGAGCGAGAAGGAAGAGATTAATGAGTGTTTCTGTCCAACAGATTCTCTCCTCGCATGAGACAAAATGTTGAAACAAATCTTAAAGAAATGTTTCCAATGTTATTTTATTAATCATCTCACCTGATTTTTGCTACGACTTGCCTTTATTTGGTTTAAGTTGAGCACGCCACTATCACTTATGTTAGCTTTTCTTTACAAACTTTGATCTGCTAATGGAACTTCAAACTAATTTGGATAAATTTTATGTTGATCTTCTCTATATCTTTTACTAATAATGCAGTTGGAACAAATGGATATTTCTAATTTCATATGTGGTAATTTTTCATTTTATTCTTGTTGCGTCATGTAATATTTGTAGGGGTAAAGAAATATAAAGTTTAACGCCTTAGCTTTGTAAGAAAATTCAGCACATAATCAGATAAAAGAGAGGGTGTAGCGTACATAAGAGACACCAGAGTTTTTACATAGAAACTTCTGAAAATAGGAAAAAATCACGGGGCCTGACCCAATTTGAATGAATCCACTATTGTTTGCAGTCGATTACAGATAAGATCTTTTATTGGGGGAAGGTCTTGACTTAATATAGCAAATATACATCACATAGAATTCAATACATTGTGGAAATTGGAAGAATCAATATTAACATGTTTGTTTGCTCGGCAAGACTATAGTCGGTGGGCGACGGAGGTTGGAAAGATTGCAGTCTGGCAACGGAGGTTGAAAGGACCGTAGTCGGTGGGAAAATGAGGTCAGAAAGACCTTAATCTAGCGACGGAGATCGGAAGGACTGTAGTCAACGGGTGACGGAGATCAGAAAGATCATAGTCTAATGACGGACATCGGAAGGACCGTTTATTATAAAAATCGACTACGAAATTGAATTAGAAATTAGTGAATGAATAATATTTTAATCACTTATATTGAAAAAAAAAATTATTTATTTTATTGATAATAAAGTAATCATTCAACCATTTCAAAATATGAATAGTATATGTTATAAATTGTAATAATAAATTTTTTTAAACTATTCATGATGATCTTAATCATAAATAAAAAAAAATAAAGAAATATTTGAAAATTCTAATTTATGTTCCCCATAAGAAATATTTTCTTACTCAGTCACTTGAAATTGAAGGTCAGGATGAAAGATTGTTAGAAGTTATTGGACAAGCTGAACCGTTGAATGTTTTTTCGTGGGAGCATTATATTTATTATTTATTTAATTAATTACCTTATAGCATCACCAAGAAGGTCAACAACAAAAGATTTATTTACGACAATGGTTCTGAAAGGAAACTGCGAAAGCAGCGTTGGAGCCTAGCGACTAGATCGGAAGTGAGATAAGCTTGAGATTTTATCTTCCTCTCATTTTAACTTGGCTTATAAATTAAAAAGAGTTTGTAATCTTCTCACAAATGCCTCTTAACAAGTGGTGAATCAATTCTCATTTCTCTATTTGAAAAAATTTCATCAGCTAACTCTCTTCTTTCTAGAATTATTTGAAACATATTACCAGCTTAATTAAAGTCATCTTAGCTTTAATGTTATAAATTGTGAGACTAATTCCTTCTTGGATTATTGGATTTGTCAAAGATTTTATTGGGGATCTTTTTGGTGAACAAGCTTCCATTTTATTAAGGAATCATTTGACACAATTTTCTTACTATTTTCTAAAGTAATTTTTTAGTAGAAAAAATTTTTTGAACTAGATGTGCTCCTTAGCGTGCCTGTTGACTTAATCGATGTGACTTTTGGTTGAGTTGAGTCGATGCGGCGCTTCTTTTTCTTAATTATTCTGCCACGGTGCTGCAAAAGATGTGCATACAAAGCTTCCGATGTTGGCGCTCCGACGTTGAATTTTTTGCAAATTTTCCAGAGACACTGGCACTGCAATGTTGATTTTCGACACTGCGGCCCTGACCATCGATCCGTTGGGGTGTTGAATTCAGTGAAATTTTCCAAATGCTCTGGTACTGTAATGTCCAAAAATGACATCAATGAATTCAAGATGCTATGACGAAAATAGTTGCAGTGTTGCGGTGCTGATTCTAAAATTTGCATATTTTGTATTGTTTCCTAAGATATTCTTGCACAATATAAACTAAAACTCATATTTATTGAAATTAATAGTTTAAAAACACTATATAATTTTCACGTAACAGTGCTTCATGACGCTACGACGTTGCCCTTCAAACTGCTAGGGCGTTGTCTTTAGTGAAATTTTCCCAATACTTTGGCATTCTAATGTCCAAAATCGACGACGGGACGTTGAAGGCATTGCAGTGCTAAACTACTAATAGTTGTGGCGCTGCGACACTAGTTATAAATTTTGCTCCGTTTTCTTTTCTGAGACATTCATGCACAACATGAACTAAAAAACACATCTTTATTAAACTTGATAATAAAAATAATACATAATTTTCATTTAACAAATATCAATTATTTCTTGGTTGTTCAACAGTCATACCCATCACATATATTATTTATTTAATAAATCAATTATCATTACATGTGGCTTTCAATAATATATAAAAACTCATCACTCTCTACCCATCGGTGTAATTTGATCATCGGTTCTAGGCTACTACCAGGATCATGTCACAAACCTTTAATTTAAGAAAAGTTCGTCAGCTTACCCTCTTACGTAGGATATTATATTTTAAAAGTCAACTTATATTAATTATTATGTTAATAGTGAGCCTCCTTTTCTTACATTTTTTTTTTAAGCCTCCTTTTCTTACATTTTTTTTTAAGCCTCCTTTTCTTACATGCACATACCACCTTGATCTTGAATAAATGATACTAATCTTTCTTTAATGTATGAAATGCAACAAAAAATGTAGGATTATATAAAATATAGAAAAATTGCATAGTAATTAATAATCTCAAAATATCATAACTTTTATTTTACCAAGTGAAATTTAATACTATTACAGTCAAAATGTTCATATCAGTCATGTGTGTTATATACAAAAAATTACATGGTAAAATGATGATAAATTAGGATAAAATATATTTTTATCATTTTAAAAAAATGAAATCAATAGATACAAAATTATCGAAAACAAAAATAGGTTTTAGATTACTTACTATGATCAGAAGATTTTTCCTGACTAAAAAAATAGACGAAATTGACAAGACTCAGCTTTCTCTCTCTACCATTTCTCCTCTTTCTCTCCCTTTCTCTCCCTTTCTCTCTCTCCTCTTTCTCTCCCTTTCCTTCTCTCCTTCATTTCCTTCTGGACCAAACCAAATTAAATGAAAGATGAGGCTTTAGTACTTAGGTTTTAATATATATGTAAATATTATTTTTGGCCTAGCGTCACGACACTCAAACATCGAGTGGCGCCATAGTGTTCCATGCTGGCTCATGGCGCCACCACATTCAAAATGCCGACATCTCCGCTCCAAATTATTTTCAAATTTCCTTGAGATTAATGGGTGGAGCGCCAGCCTCCTTTTCTTGCATGCACATACCACCTTGATCTTGAATAAATGATATTAGTCTTTTTTTTAATGTATGAAATGCAACAAGAAATGTAGGAATATATAAAATATAGAAAAAAAATGTATACTAATTAATAACTTCAAAATATCATAACTTTTATTTTACCAAGTGAAATTTAATACTATTATAGTCAAAATGTTCATATCAGTCATGTATATTATATACAAAAAATTACATGATAAAATGATGATAAATTAGGATAAAATATATTTTTATCATTTAAAAAAATGAAATCAATAGATACAAAATTATCGAAAACAAAAATAGGTTTTAGATCACTTACTATGATCAGAAGATTTTTCCCTACTTAAAAAATAGACGAAATTGACAAGACTCGGCTTTCTCTCTCTTTCATGTCTCCTCTTTCTCTCCCTTTCTCTCTCTCCTCTTCTTCTCCCTTTCCCTCTCTCCTTCATTTCCTTCTAGACCAAGCCAAATGAAATGATAGATGAGGCTTTAGTTCTTAGGTTTTAATATATATGTAAATATTATTTGTGGCCTAGCGTCACGACACTCAAACATCGAGTGCCATAGTGTTCCATGCTGGTTCATGACGCCACCACATTCAAAATGCCGACATCTCCGCTCCAAATTATTTTCAAATTTCCTTAAGATTAATGGGTGGAGCGCCAAAATACCTAGTGCCACAACGCTCTATTAAATTTTGTTTAGAATTTTCATATTTTTCATTTTAAAATAAGTTTCGTAATTTTCTTGCTATTACAATCTGTCCACCTTTAAAAAAAGCCACTATCGATATTTCCACAATCAAAATAAACAAAATAATTTAATTCAATTCATAAATTTGTCAAAATAAATCAATTCATTTCAAACGATTCAAAATAAATAAAATCAATTTAAATTTGTTATTGATTCATGTGATTCACTAATGGGAATCATAAGAAACTGGAGACTGATTGAAAGTTACAAGGAGTCGGGGCTATTGATTCATGTGATTCAATGAGAGTTATAAGGAATAGACTGATTGGGAGTTATATGAACGATTAATTATGAGTCATAACTGCAGAAGCAAGTTACCCTCACATGAATTTACACTTAACAAGAATAATTTATTTGAATTTGTATAATTGAAATCCTATCATCTGATTTTTAAAAATGAGAAATTAGTTCTACATCATGTTTTGCATTACTTGTATATTTAACAGAAGATAAAAAATGCATGAAATTTATAACTGTTAGGAGATTGGGATCTGTCTAAATTTCTTAGGAGATTGGAATTTCTCTAAATTAAAAGAAATTATCTCAAGCACTGTAGAAATGTTTTTTAATAGGGTTGTGTGCCTATTGGAGAGTCATCTTTTGTCTTTAAAGAATATTTCTCTCGAAACTGCACATCCCTTATTTCAAGCTACACTGTGATAATATATTTAAAGAAAAGTAATCTTCTAGGAAATAAACAAGCCTTCTATGTTAGGAAAATTATTATGTCCGGTATCCGGATTCGTCCGGACACCAATTTAGACGTACCACGTTACCAAAATACATCGGGACCCAATATATTTGGGTGACTTGGCGCGTCTGAATT